CCCTCTTGCCACCCCATAAATATTTTTCTAGATCCGCCCCTGAAGGAGATGATTGTTGATTTCAGGAGGAACAGGATTAAATCAAACCCTATTTCCATCATGGGAGAAGAAGTGGAGGTGATTGAGGAATATAAACACTTCAATGTTCGCGTTGACAACAGATGGGACTGGAGACGCAACAGTGAAGCGTCTATAAGAAGGGACAGAGCAGACTGTACTTCTTGAGGAAGCTAGGGTCCCTCAAGGTTTGCAGCAAATTGCTGCAGATCTTCTATAAATCTGTTGCTGAGAGCGTCATCTCTTCTGCCGTCATCTGTTGGGGCAACAGTATCAGAACCAGGGACCTAAAAAGGCTCAACAACCTGATAAAGAAGACTGGTTCTGCTCTGGTTCTGTGGAACCTCTGGAGATGACGATGCAAGAAATAATTCTTCAGAGGATCAAGAAAATCATAGACAACCCTGACCATCTTCTGCATGAGACTGTCTCATGACTGTCTCATGACTGTCTCATGGACAGTCATGAGACAGTCCTTCCCAGGTATCTTGGGAAGGACTTATTTGCCTTCCTAAGATATTTGTCTTGGGAAGGCAGAGCATCTTCAGTCAGAGGTTTCTTCAGATTCAGTGCAGTACAGACCACTTCAGGAAATATTTCTTGTCAGCAGCCATCATCATCTTCAATGGATCTTTGAAGAATCTAAATTACTGAGTTACAACAACATTTAATTTGCCTTTGGGATTAATAAAGTATTTTTGAATTTGAATGACAGGGCATTGCATTTTCAGTATTCCTTACTTCCTAATATGTCATCAGAAGGGAACATTATGCAGCTCATAGTAAGTTAGTTAGCTGTTGTTTTGAACGCTGTGCTTTTGATGTCAACTGTATGCTATGAAGGGCTCTCGTATGTCACCTTGCTGTGAGATGTCAGCATCCGCATAGTCAACTGAAGACTGCTGGCCCTCTGCAAAAATACAAAGAAAAGTGTAAATGTTTGAATTGTATGGAATCATACATGTTCATACATATGAGCATTAATTCCTTGCACCTTCAGGTACTGTGTCGAATTGTTGGCTTGCTGAATCGAACATGGAGTCAGATTGAAGTGGATGTTGGGCGTCTTCACCAACCCCTAGCTGGACACCTTCACCAAGTCCTAGCTGGACACCTTCACCAAGTCCTAGCTGGACACCTTCACCAAGTCCTAGCTGGACACCTTCACCAAGCCCTGTTCTGTCCTGCAGATCTTCCTGTGACGTAGGAGGTCTAACCTCTTCAATTCCTGCTTTGGAGCGTCTGTCAAACACAAACACTTACACTGTATTGTTCTTAACATTTGGGCATGTGTGTGGTCATATTTGTGTTTGACTGCTTACCTGTCACTTCTTCTTCGACCTGACCTCTGAGACACCAGACTTCTTCTAGAAGTTGTCAGACTCCTCTTTGGCTGCGTATCAGGCAACTGCTGGAAAGCCAAACTTCCTAGCTCATTCTCGCTCTCCTTTCTCTTCTGGCTTATTTTTGGTTTAGCTGAACCCTTTCTTCCAATGACTTTTCTACCTCCCATTCTGCTTGATTTCCGCCTGCTTGCCTTCCTGGCTCTTACTGACTTCTTCCTTTCCATCTCAGCAGGAATAGTGATATCATCAATATTGAAATAAGAGTAGAAGACCTTGTCAGCAGTTATCTCCTCTTCCTCGCTCAGTTCACCTTTATCAATGTCATACAGATTGTCAAAAAAGAATTCCTCCCAGAAGTCTTCCCCGCTGACACGTTTTCGTTTCTTCCTCCAGCTTCTGATAATGGAGTTGGGGATGTAGCCGTCTGGAGCCGTGGGCCATCTACAGAACTCCAGGTCCACTTCAGCAGTGTCCGTCATGACGCGATATTCAGCTGTCTCCCAAAGTTCAAACTTTTTCATGTTGCTGAAACCTCTGAACACATCAGCATGGTACTATTAAAGTTACGGTTGACTGCAAGCCAGATATCTGAAAAAATATGTAACAATGTAAAAGTAGTAACAATTTAGAAAAAAAGCCAATGCTATTTACAATATGTTGACCATTCTTACTAATAATTGTCTTGGGATTACAGCAACAAAATCTTTTTTTTTTTCCCTTGGGCTCCCTCCACAGATTCTCTATGAGGTTTCAAAATTGTTTTCATTCTGGGCCATATCAAGGTCACAAATTAAGGGTTGGTTGTGGCAGAATGTATACGTAAAACTACCCATTAATAAACTCTTAAAATATTAAAAGGTTAGTATTATGTATTTTGTAGGCACATATAGCGATTTTATAACACAATAAAATAACTATTACCTTCAGTTGTTATAAAAATACAATATAATTCAAATATGACTTAAAATATTTTTTACTTTGTATTTTAATTCCTTGAAATTAGGTTTCTGTCTCTTTAAAAACGCCTGCCCTTTCTGAAACTCCACCCGCAAAAAGTCATTGCAACTTAATAGAGATAAAAGGTTCCTCTATTAACCCTTTTACAATGTTTTTACCAGCGTTTCACTGAGAAGTAGCTCGTATGGTGAACTCAGCAGCAATTAGCAGGTGCTTGTTAATTGCTGCTGGCTAGTCTAAAGGAGCTGAGTGGGGGAGTTGCAGGCGATGGTTGCTATGTGAGGTGTTCAGTCCACACAGGTGTTTTGCACAGCTGAATGGTTGCCATGGGAGATTAAGGGATTTTTCAAACGTGCATAAAAGAATCAAGGCAACACTCTAGGTGTGTTTTGGATGAGGGGATAACATAACAGGATGTAAAGCTCAAATAAGTCGATTTTATATACTGCTCAAAAAAATAAAGGGAACATTTCACTTTGTGTGTGGCTCCAAATCCAGGCCTCCATTGGTTAATAAATTTGATTTCCATTGATGATTTTTGTGTGATTTTGTTGTCAGCACATTCAACTTTGTACAGAACAAAGTATTCAATGAGAATATTTCATTCATTCAGATCTAGGATGTGTTATTTGAGTGTTCCCTTTATTTTTTTTAGCAGTGTATAATACTGACACTTTAATAAATAGTTTTTTCTGCTTTTGATGAGTACATCGCTATATGCTGCTAAATTACATTGATGTAATTTAGCAGCATATAGATAAAACTGGTTTGATTTAAATAAAACAATATTTAAGACAGCGTTTATATTGGAAGTTCTGGAGGGCCACATAAATACTAATAGTGGGCCAGATTAGGCCCCCTGGCCTTGAGTTTGACACAAGAGCTCTTTCATATTCAAGTCTGTACTCTGGCTGGTCCACTTCAAACACTGATATCACTTCCAGAAAGAAAATGATTTTAGAAGAATCTTAATATTAATCCATCTAAACTAAATCTGCTGGGAGTTTCAATATTTTTAGGCTAAACTGTGCCTTGGTGTTTATTTTCCATAGACATGAGTGCCAGAGATTGAAAAAAGCATAGGTGCAGTATTTTGTATCATAATAAAAAAATAAAACTTGTTTATGTTGGCAACGCCTCACGGGATGTTGTGCTGTCATCTGGAAGAAACGGAGTGGGAAGATGGAGCATCAGAGGGAGCCCGTTTTATGCCTTTTTAACAAGTCAATAATCCATCCATCCATCCATCTTCATCTTTGAGGACACGCTGGAGGGACTATGTCTCTCGGCTGGCCTGGGAACGCCTTGGGATTCCCCTGGAGGAGCTGGAAGAAGTGGCTGGGGAGGCAAGTCTGGGCCTCCCTTCTGAAGATGTGGCCCCTCGACCCGACCCCGGATGAAGCAGAAGAGGATGGATGGATGGATGGATGGATTGATTGATTGTTATAATGAGAAACTGTCATGTCTGAAAGAGTTCCTGCTCCTGTATTCATTTTCTATTTCTGGCAGTTAAAAGCTTCCATACAAGTCTGTTTTTCTGTGACACAGAAATATTCTGGTTTCAAATTTTCTTACTCAAAGCTTCACTTAAAAGTTTCATCAGCTACTCTAAGAGCATATGTCAGCAGATAGTTAGCCTAGCAAGGCATGAATAATAACAGTAACAGCTGAGAGGGAGTGTAGCTTTCCATAATTTCCCCAAAGACATTTTTTAATTTAACATATATTACCTAATAGTTAAACTGTCTGTGGAGAAATTCAGTTTATCTGTTCAATTAACATTCCATTGACATAATTTATAATAAAGCTATCTGTTAGTGGTTATTTATTTTTAACCAAAGTAGCTATATTTTTTAAAAACTATAACTAAAAATATCTTTGTAATTATTTTGCGTTTTGTTTACTTGTTACAATTACATTCTTTTTCTTCTTTTAACTAACTCTAGACATTTAATTTGACCTTTTGAATAATTAAAACAATTCTTCCTGCAGATGTGTGGGCCTACCTCCTCCCTCTCAGCCTGCAGAAATCCTCCTGTCTGTTGCCGTCCACATTCATTTTAAATAAAAACATCAGTTATCAGTTCAGTGACAGTTGAAGGCATTTTATTTTATTGGCTTGGATTTCTGCTTACCTTTGAAACTGTAGCCTATCTGATGTGGAAAAATAAAAGCTACCCATTCAGCAAAGTGCATTGTTATTTTTCTGTGAGCTTTTTAACATTTTGTCACATTAACCACAAATGTGTTTAATGGCTATAAACACCGCTCATTTTGAAATCAGGAAGCAAGTCTGTGTTTTTCAGTATCCAAAGAATGATGTTCTGTTTTATTTAAAAGTTGGATGTGAATACATTTATAATTGTAACAGAAGCAAGAGCAGAAATATCCAGACTAGACAGAAAGACAAAGCTGTCCGACTGTTAAATTACTGTTAGATGAAAATCACAAGTGAACAATGGATAGCCTTCTCTTTTAAAAGTTATTGCCGAGGAAAGAATGTTGCTTGTTTTCATAGCATCTGAATAAAAAGTACAATTTAAAAACCAAATGGAGATCGTCACAAAAAAAAAATCTTATGCTGGCCCTACTTCCTTCCCCCAGACATCTCTGCATATGAAAATATGGAAGCTTTTTTAAAAAAGAAGCCATTTCTCTTTGATACCTGCATGTTTGCAAAAGTGGAGAAACAAACTCAAACTGCACACATACACACGCTTCATTTTAAATTACATACTAACATATATATATTTTGGCTTGAAATGGTGGAACTTTAATTTATATGCTGTACACATATGATATGTTCAGACAATAAATAAGAAATACAGAAAAAATATGTTAAAAAAAAAACATGGCTTTTTTTAACATACCACCACCAAGCCACCAAGGAGGCTTGGTGGCTTCTTCCACTAAGTCTCCTTCACATGGCTCTCTTTTTCTTATTCTTCTCCTGGGATAGATGAATGTTCCTCTTTCCATCCAACAAACATGTCTCCATTATTTAGTCAGGGAAAATGGCTAAAATAAGAAAAAACCTTAAAAACCTAACTAGCTCTTAGTCTTAGTCCTCTCTGTCACATTCATTCACATTTCTACAAAATCACAGTTATATGGCATCTCAGGTAGGCAAACTATAACTCATTAATTTTCATTGACCATATAATTGGGAAATTTGACATTTCTAAAATAAATCAGCTTAATGGAAACATGCCTAATTAAAAAAAAAATCTTTTGTGCTAGGATGAGGTGTTTTTTTTGCCATATCCAAATCGGTTTACTGCAATGGAAACACTTTTTTTTGCATCGCATGAGTCACACAAACCACAACAGTGATGTTGCCACTGGCACGAATTGAAAAGAAGATGACAGGAAGTAGCAGGAGGATCATGATGCTGTATGTTTTTTAAAGACATTGCATGAGCAGACTACGTATGATTTTAATTGCATTTCTTATTTGATGGAAACATTGTAATTGCGAAGTTGTGGTTTTATCAAGATCAGCTTTGAAAAATGTAAAGAATCCTTTTTTGTGGAGGTAAAAACATCAGCAGTAACTAGCCTCTACAGTTATGATCAGGTTCCACATAAAGAACAGCGAAGTGGTCCATGGATCCAGTTTGAGAAAAAACATAATTGTCATCACCCTGGTGTCATTTGTAGTCCTTCATCGATTTGTTGATGGTTCTAAAAGGAAAAATATTTAATTTTGGTTCTATTAATGGCCAGGGTACAGATCCTGCTCTCTCACATTTTCATCTTTACCGATGCTATATCACTGACCAGTTGCTATGTTTTAACCTCCCTGATCCATCACATTTAAATGACACAGATCAGATTGCCTCTGATACTGTAGCATACACATTATGATCTCCAGCTCAGTCAGGCAATTCTAACATTTTTTTAACATTTGAGCAAGTGCTACTCAAATGTCACAACAATGACCAAACAATAACGTTGCAAAATCTCATGGTACATTATGCTGACTCTCTGTCTGCACCTAAGAAGATTCTCTAACTTTGACAGAACATGGGGAACCAGGCTTAAGTTTTGGAAATTTATCTGTCATCCCAAGATGGTCTGGGGGTCATTAATATAGGTTCATACTCATATATATGTTCATATAATTCATACACGAGATGTTGGTAGTTAATTTGTTTATGTCAAAGACATATTTCTAAAGCTTTTCTTATTTTATGTGGCAAGATTGAGTATCTCTGAAGTTCCTGAATTTCAGATTCTAACTGAAGATCAAAAGTAAGACCTCTGACCTCTTCATGGTATTTTCTGATGAAAACCATGTTTTTGGCAGAGTGTGAAATCTTTTAGGAGCTTGGATCCTACCAAGACTTAGAAAGAACTGACTTAAGAGTTTATTTTAAATCCCTAAAATGAAATATTACTCTTTTGTCTGGAGTTGATGAAAAAAAAAAAACCCTGAAAAAGTGAAAGGCGGCGTTTTAGCTCCCTATGTTGTAAAAGGTTAAAGAACAGTAATAACAATTTAGGAATAAAATAAATTATATACTTATACAGACTACAAGACTGGATTAATTTAGGATAATCAGTTTAGTATGCTAATTACATTTGGAATTTATTGAAATGTGTTATTTAAACTAATAGAAAGTGCTGTTATTTTAACAGGAAACAGACCTGAGATGTTTTAACTTAATTTGTCTCTGCAGTTTATTTTCCAATGTTGCTTTGCTGATCGGCTTCACGGGGCTCAACTGTGACTCTTTGCTTTTACTTTTGAAACGGTCAGAAAAGAAGAGCAGCATCTCCGTGATCATGTTGAACCTCCTTCCAGTCGACGGTTCCTCTGATTGATGTCCTCCTACATTCTGTCACGATCAGCATCCCGTCATGATCTGAGGATAACCCAGAAAAGGCTCCAGACTCAGAGTCTACTCAAACCAAACTCTAGCATCGGAACAAAAAATACATTCAAGTTTCAGCCTGAATGTTTTTTAAAAAAAAAAAAAAAAAAAAAATTAAAATGATAATCTGTTGTGAACTAATAGCACAACGTGGCTACGCAAACGTCCTCGTTGTGTCTCCGGCTTTTGCAGCCGAGAAATGAAGAACATACGGAGACAAGGCAGGAACTCTCAGAGGCACAACAGTACAGTCAGTTAACACAAAGCTGCAAATACCTGCTAAATGCAACACCTGAGACACTCCTGAAGTTCTTTCATGCAGCTAAAAATTATTATTTTTCTTTATACACATTATTTTTTATCTAAAAAAGAGGCTTAAAAATAAATAGAGATAAAACTGGAAGACCTTTCTGAGTATATGATTACAGCTACTCCAACCCTTTGGACAACAATCACTGCTGGGCCAGAATCAAGATGCTACTGGATGATTGTCACTAAGTGCAACATGTGCTGTCGAAGCTCTGTGTGTGTGTTATATATTAAATACACTGAACGGGTCAGAGAAGGCCGCAAAAACAATCAGTAGCAACAGTTTGGGAGAGCACTGCTGTTTACACCATCAGGAGGGTTCCAGTCTCTTTATGTTTTTTTGGCATACATAAAAAAAAATCTCTAATCAAATGTTTGCAGAATTGAAAAACAAAGTAACAAAAACAAGCATAAAAATCAACATGGGTGACACATTTTTTAGAATTGTTGTGACACGTCCACTTTGTTGTTTGATTTAGTTTCATTAAGACAAGAAAGTTAATTATGCAACAGGAGAAACTTTCTCAATTCGCAGAGATCTGACCTGACGCCACGAGCAACCAGACCCACCATGATGAGCCTCAGCTGCTGAGACTGGAAATAAAATAAGAAAAAAGTGCATTTCAACACACACACACACACACACACACACACACACACACACACACACACACACACACACAGGGAAGACAATGGTCCTTTTGTTGATGCATACGTCCAGTGGCGTCCGTTCTCATGGGGTGGTCAGACCCCAGGCTGGTAAAAATATTGGGGTGGCATGACTAACAGAGAGCGAGGAAAAATAAAAAGCCTCCAACTGCATACTAGGAAGTTGAAGTTCAAGCTTTAAGTTCTAAGCTAGCATATTAGCCTGCTAACATGCTTTAGCATAAATCAACATGGGAAGTATGACATGAAAGAGTTTGCAATGTTGATCTGACCAAATTCCAAAGGCGGTGCTGACATGAGATTCCACACAGAGCAGCAGAAACCCACTGACCCTGTCAGACCGCCTGAGCCTGTCAGTGTCCTGAGTCGCCACATAACGCCAGCAGAGTGTGAATGTTTGCCAATCCACTGCTGGGACTGCTCATCTTTATTCTGCTGGCTCAATCAGCAGCCACTGACAGGCTGAGAAGACAAGAGCTCCAGTTATTTTGTTGGGTTGGTTGGTTGTTGGTGGGGGAGTGGAGGTGGATGGGGCACAGGGAGAGCACTGTGACCGACTCGGAGTAGACAGGCATCATTCTTGCAGAAGAGTCTCCTTCCAGTCGAAGGAGTGGTTCGGTCCGTGAGTCAGAGGCAGGATAGGAGGGTCCACTAACTGCCACATTCCCGTCTCTCCATGCTCCTCACAGGCACAGAAGCCCAGGTACGGGATCTGAGGACCAAACCCAATGTTTGCATTATAGTTTGAATTATAGTCAGAATGGTTGATTTTTGGTTGAAGTCAAAAACTGACGGTGGATCAACCATCAAACAACCATCCAGCTCTAACCGTTGAAACTGTGTCATTGAATCAATGTTGATTTATTGTCGATATCCATTGATTGAAATGCCAACATTGAATCCAGTGTGTTTCAGCACTGGTCCTCCAGGCCCTGCAAGTTTTAGGTATTTCCCTAATTCAGCACACATAATTTTAATTGACATCTGATTAACAGGGTTCTGCTGAACTGAAAACACGCAGGTCAGTTTGATTGAGGACAAGGTTTGGGGAAGAACTAGTAATCTAAATGTTCAATCAATGTAAGCTGTTATTCGCACCCCTCCACCACCACCTGCCATTCAAACACCCAACCCCCTTCCCTCCACCTGCCAAAGACACACCCCCCCCTTTCCCTCCACCGCCCACCCCTTACCTGGCCCCATCTACCCCTCAATCGGGTGAAACAACTTTAATATTAAGTGAGGGTTTTTCATTTTTCACATTTTAAAAGATTTTTTTGGCTCTAGTGGCTGTTATTCAATAGTTAATTGACAGGAAAGTGGGTAATGAGAGAAGGGGGAAGACATGCAGCAAAGGTTGGGAATCGAACCTGCAACAGCTATGTTGAGCACTAAGGCCTCCATTGTGGGTTGTGCTTAACCCCTGTGCCATCACAGCACAACCCATTTTAGGTGAGGGTTAATCACATTTTAACTTAAGCACTATGTATGACAACATTGAGTTGTGATTCTGTTCTGTACCCAGATTGCACATGATGGCAATTCAACATTGAATTAACATCTTTTGCCAACAAGCCAACAGCGAAGTGGCTGTGTGTTTGGGACATCCCACTCATGTAA